AATATAAATTAATTAGTTTTGCAAGTTATTTTATATATTTAATTATGTAAATATTTCTAGCTTTTAATGAACTTTTTTAAAGTATCTTGTTGTTACACTATATAATAGGCTGACTTGAACAATTAAAATAAAACTGTAAGACAAAAATAATATATTTTTTAATAATATTTTACAAAAAACGTTTATGACAGTTTGCATATTTCGCAATTCCACTCCTGCACTGAATTGTCTTCTCTATAATGGACACATTTAATATGGAACCATTTCAAGCATTTGCGGCAAGCAACCATAAAATCATAAGTGCAAGGCATTTAGCAGGTGCAATGCAGTTGAACATTTACAGCTGAGGAATTGTTACGCGTAATATTCAATTTACTTCGTTTATTGAGTAATGGAAAGGGTTTAAACATAAGGGTTTAAAACAGCATAAAACATTTTTTCAAGATGCTGTCTCATAAACTTTTGATTATATGATAAATTTTCTAGTTGTTGGCCCAAAGCCAAGTGGACAGCATTAGCTATAGCAAATAATCCACAATCCAAACTTCCAGTCTGTTGTTGGACACTTTTAACGTTTACAACAATACTTGGTGGAAATTCACAATCATAATCGGCAAAATTCTTGTAACATCTAGCTAACTGATTAAACAGATGTGAATCTAATTTGCTATACATGCTATCATAAAGTGAAATCGATCCATTTATAGAACATGAAGTGACCCAATGAGAATTAATAAAATGAGAATTAATAAACTTTTCCTCAGAATTACTTTGGACTATTTCAACAATATTATTTGGAACCATATTTTCAGATTTTGGGTAATAAATCTTTAAACGAGTCATATTGTATACTTGTGTTAATTTCTTATTACAATCATTTATATTACATAAACGAAAAGTATTATTTTTCAAAATTTGGCAAATTTTGTATGGGCCAGTCCAATTTGGCTCCATCTTTGACCCTTTTCTGGTAAGTTTTTTACTATTTTTTATTAACACTTTACTTGTGCCAACTTTAAATAACTGGTTTTCTGAACAATGTTTGGCATCATATGCTTTTTTTTGGCGTTCTTGAGCTTTTTCAATATTTTGTAGTGCATTTTTTCGCATTCCAATTAAATTTTCTAATAAACTTTCTCTATTTTTTAAACTGTCGTCTATTGTAGGTTTATTTTCAAAATTATTTTTTATAGATTTCATTTGTAAATCAACAGGAAGCCTAGCTTGTCTCCCGTAAACTAGATAAAATGGGGTTTGTTTAGAAGAGTCTTGAACAGAGACTCGATATGAAAACAAAATGCTTTCAATGTATAGATCCCACGTGTTTTGCTTTTCATCAACATATTTCAAAAGTTGACGCTGAAGAGTTTGATTGAACCTTTCATCTTCACCGTTGCTCTGTGGGTGGTAGGCACTTGTAACATTGCACTTTGTGCCCATCATTTTATTTAATTTATGGTTTACCTAAACAAATAAAAAAAAATATTAGTAATATAAGACAATAGACCCATTATAAAATGGACGGTAAAAAATGCTTGTATAGGGTTTGTATTAAATAATAAGCAATTATAACATAACTCAATAAATAAAAATTAGTTATTAAAAGAATTAAGTTTAGCAAGTTTTAGCATAAAACATTTTTGTTGCGCAAAATATTGGCAAAGTTTACAAAAAATTTTTCTATATAAGCATTGCAGATGAGGCTGATTAACTGTTGTTTTTTTAACTCTCATTTTGTTTATCAATTTAAATGAACAAGTTCTGAAGTTGTAAAAATTCTGACTTATTCTTTATTCACTCTTCACATCCAATTATGATATATCAACTTATCAAAATTTAGAACCATGAAAGTTATACAAAAAATAGAGCTTTTTCAAAAAAAGTAATGAAAACTAAAAATTAACAAAAAAAAAAAAAAAAGACAATTAAATAAACAAAAATCCAACACAGTACCTCATTAACAAACTCTCTTCCTTGATCACTTATCTGAACTTCACAACAACCATGTCTCTTAAAGCATGTATACAAGAACTCTGCTGCACTTGTAGCTGTTTTATCAGATAAGGAAGCAGCTTCAGGCCACTTGGAAAATAAACAGGTTGCTGTTATGATGTATTTGTTTCCTTTTTCTGTTAAAGGAAGAGGTCCAATTAAATCGATCGACTTGTTAGAACAACTAGCAGATCCATGTTTCTTTTTTTATCGTAGTAAAAAAGTAGGCCATCTTTTACCACATATCTTTTGGACTTCCTTCTTAACCCATCTTTGTTAATCTTATCGATGCTTTGAGGGTATATTCCTCTGACAATTAAATCAACAAGATTGTTGTATTCTTCAACGTCCATATTTATCAAGAAAGGTAAAGAGATGTAAAGCGGCAAATCTTCCTGCGAGCGGCAATTTTTCCTAGGATATAATGCAGCTGAGCAGCAGATTTTCCTAGGAAATTAGGCCGCAGCCGCGAAATTTCCTAGCAGCAAAATTTCCTGTGACACCGTAAGTGCACATTCCGAAACGCTTCTTCCGCAAGGAATTGCTTCGCAAGTATTCTTTCGAAATGATTCGTTTCGCAAGTTTCTTTTCGTAAAGGATTATTTTGGTATTATTATTATTTATTTATTCGTATAATGCGTTACGGAAGGTGAATTTGCGCGTGTACAACTTCTGCAATAGCAACTTAAAATACGGAAGATAAAAATGCGATATTTTCGTAAATTTATGTTTACAGTGAACAACTCTATTATAGAGTAGATTTATTGTGCCGGTTTAAGGTGAAAACTGAAGAAAATCTTGTTTGCGTTATAACTTTCTAACCAAGTAAGATTATGAAAATCTAAAACTCTTTTTGAAATTAGCAGAAAATTTCAAACAAATTAGCTTTCTTTGTTTTTAAATTGTCTTTTTAAATCTTGCATGGTAAGAACCTAATTTTAAAAAAAGGTTTGACTTTTAGAGTTGGATTTTGTTTGAACTTCATTATCTTATTAAAGCAATCATCTAAATAATTTTTTTTGAAATTTTATAATTTTCCACGCACTTAAAATTAAAAACTTTTTTAAAATTTGCAAAAATCAATATTTTTAGTAAAGATATTTAGTTTTCCCGAAAAGTGTTTTGCTCACTGTCCAATTTGTGGTACTTTTACTTAACTTAATTATTCGTCAAAAAATAAACATTGCGTCACCTAACTTTACGCTGGAATTATGTTTCCACCTTGAAACCATTGCAAAGATAAATAGCCGTGAGTCATAAGTAAACAATCTGGTTTTTTATTTTACTTTAAGTTGATTTATTGCGTCAGAGTACATTATAGTACATTCTTGACTTATTTTTCTATAGTTAATTGAGCAAAGAGTTACAAGCATACACTCGCTAACTTTCAAAGCGATGAACTTCCATCTGTTTTATAATTCCATGATTCAATAGATGGCATATAAAACGGGATTACCTTCACATATATTTTTAGCTTAAACAAATCATCTTTAAACTGTCAAGGCAAAAATATAACGTGAAGCAAACGTTTTTTTATAAAAAGAAATACTTTGATCACCTTAGACAACTTAAGTTAATAATATAAGAGTGTAAGCTTTATCATTTCTTTTTAACATTTTTTTTATTATTATTTTTTATAAAACTCCATGCAAAAATTCATAACAATCAAAATGCATGATGAAATAAAAACAAGTTAAAAGGTAAAAAAAAGTCGGTTACAAGTTTTTTATTTTATTATAAATACTTAAAAAAAGACTTATTTAATAAATGTAAATTATTTACAATTTTTTGTAAATCATTTACATTTATTAAATAAGTCTTATGTCTAAATATGACTTGTATTTAAATCTCTGTTTTTTACTTATTCTCTCTTTTTTTTATGTATCAATTAACTGGATAATATTAGCTTTTGGTGAAAGCAAACATCATACAATACTGTTATTAACATTTAAAAATTAAAATTTTTAAAAATTAATTTTTTTAAAAATTAAAAAAATGTTTTTTACATGTTAATCAATTACTTCATAATATTTTTCTACATTATGTTTATTTAAATAATTTTATATAAAAGGTTTCAAACTAATCTATGTTTAATCTCCTGAAAATAAAAATTATATAACTGAGAGCTCTGGCATAATATTACAATGTTTATTTGTTATGCTAACGATAATTTTAAAGGTTTCACATTAAAAAAGATCTTGAGATTTTAAATGTTAAAAATTTCTTCAGATAATTAAAATACCTTTGGCTTTTGACGGTTATTTTTTTTTTATTTTTAGTAGTTTACGTGGTTTATTTGAATAATCATTTTTTATTTTAGTTATGGGGTTTATTTAAATAATCATTTTTTATTTTAGTTAAGGGGTTTATTTGGTTATTTATATAAAAGTTAGAAATTAATTTTTATGCTTAATTTTATATCATATAAAAAGGGAATCGTGTTCGGAGCAGAAAATTTACATATAATCTACGTAAATATATAAATGAATATAAATTTTAATTTTAACAGGTTATTTTTATTTTTTAAACTCCTAGAGTTTTGAAAAAAGAGTTTAACTTATAAAAAAACTTTTATAAAAAAATCCCTTGGATTTTTTTTACCATCCATAAGTAAACTTATAATATATCTACATTTCAAGGATTATTTATTTTATGAAACAATAAAATCTGTGACACAATAATTTACAAACTTGACAACCTAATCAAATGTTTTAAAGCTAAATTTGCTTGAACAAAAACAGAAAATATTTTATACTTTTTAATATGTTTATGTGTATGTATGTATGTATGTATGTATGTATGTATGTATGTATGTATGTATGTATGTATGTATGTATGTATGTATTTATGTATGTATGTATGTATGTATGTATGTATGTATGTATGTATGTATGTATGTATGTATGTATGTATGTATGTATGTATGTATGTATGTATGTATGTATGTATGTATGTATGTGTGTATGTATGTATGTATGTATGTATGTATATATGTATGTATATATGTATGCACGTATGCATGTATGTTAGTATACATATATGCATGTGTGCATGTGTTATTTAAAAACAAAAAAAAACATTTTATTAACCTAATATACAGAATATTTTTTCAAAAAGATTGAAATAATGGAACTAGACTACAGAAGTAAATTTAGTAAGTTTGTTTATTTTGTTATAAACTTTTAAGTTTAACAATTTTTAGTATTTTTGTCAATAACTGATTTGTTTTTTAATTAATAAATTGTTTTTTGTTTTTTTGAGTCTTTAGGGGTTTAAAATTTGTTTGTCAGAACACCAAAAATACTAAACTGTAATTTATTTTTGTTTCTTTAAAAGTGTTAAAAATGTGTAAACTTGCACGCTTGGTCAGAAAAAAAATTTAGAATGCTGATTTTTAGCAGGTTACAATTTCAACAAACTTTAATATCTACTGGAAATGATGAATAATAGACAATTTATGTATAACGGCTTTAGTAAAAGTAGTTATTAGTAAACAAGGCTAAACACGTCTAAAGAAGCGTCTACGCTTTGATCTAAACGTCTTATGCATACTTATTTTCATCACATGCTCAAAAACCACCGTGAATAACGTGAATATTTAAAAAAATGCTGTTATATTGTCTCTACGAATTATACATAAACATACAACTATATATAACTCAACTAGTATTGTATTAAAAAGTTATGTTTTGCGATGCTTACAAAATCTATTTTTGATTCTTAGTATCTCTTAAAAAGTACGTTCAAACGGTTTTTGTTTCTGCTTATCAATAACTTCTTTGATTGCGACTAATATTTGAAGACCACAGGGGAAAAAGGGCACATGTCACATTTTCCAATTATTTGAATTATGTCGTCTACTATATAAACATAAGCGTGAAGGTTAGCGAAATGGTAAAATCCAACCCAAAAAAAGCCAATGTAATGCTACAAGAAAACAAGAAAAGTTATACAGGGGAAAACATAGCGACTTTCAAAGACAAAGTTTTGTTTACCTCAAAAGTGGAAATGTGTGGCGTATGCCTTTTTTTTACCTGTAGTCTTCTTTTTTTTAATATCAAAAGTACATAAGTACTTTTGATATAATATACTTAGTACAAGAGCCAAACTAAAAGGGAAACATAAAAGAGCCAAATTGAAAAAGAAACTTGATTAACTCAAATTTGACTTTATCAAATTGTTTATTGAGTTGTAACAACTTATACAATTATTTATCCATTATCTTTTTAAATTTATCTTTGATAGTTGTCAAATTATCTGATCACAAATCGCTAATCTACTTAAATTATTGCTTTCTTAATATGATGAAAGTATTTTAATCGGTCAAAAAAAGGTATTCTGATTTAAAACTGTATTCAAATTCAGAAATAGCATTCTAAAGGCAATCTAATTGATAAGTTTTACTGAGTTTATCAATCCAGTAAAAAATAATTAGCCTTTAGAGAGAAAGGGAATCGTCCTCTGAACAGAACTTTTACAAATAAAATTTTTACATATAACTTACATAAATATGGACAATTTCATTTTTAATTTACGTTACACGCCCAACAACTTTATCAAATACTTGCCTATTCAAACTGTAAGTTAAACCTTTAGCTATTTTGTATAAACGCTTTTAATCTAAAGAGTTAAATAAGCTAAAAAATTTTTAGTCTGGCCGAAAGAGGGCAAACTTATTACTGAAAATGCAACCTATCTTACGCTACACGCTAGGTAAAAAAAATTGCTTAAAGTTTTGAGTTAGATTTTTGGGAATCAGTAAAGCGGTTTGTATTAGAAACATAAACAAGTTGTTAAGAATTCTATGCCAATTTCAAATATGTATAAAATTTTATCAGAGGTGACCGGGTAAGGAAAATAAACTGGTTTTTTTGATACTATATATCTAAATTACGTAACATCACTAACGTTGCCTTGCGATTATTATAATGGATTTTTACTTCTACTACATCGAGTTAAAGTTAGGCAACAAAGCAATTGCAAAAATATTGAACTCATTCATTAAAAATATTTATCAAATGAAATTTTTAAAAACTGGTGGCAATTGAGTGACTTTTCATAATATTTGAATCGGTGAATGTTAAAAGAACGGAAGTCCAACTATGTAAACTTTTGGGAAACTAAAAAGTCTGCATTTTACCCCGTAGTTAAAAAAATTATTGAACCATTAACAAAACTTTACTAAGGGGGAATATGAAGTTTTTTTAAGTTTCCCGAAAGTTTAAATTATTGAACTTTCGCCCTTTTAACATTCATCGATTTATTTATAAAATAGTCAAATCGAAAACAGTTTTACCGCAAGACCAAGAAAAACTTCAATAAATTATTTTTGTATAACAATTTTTTAATACTTATTTGAATCGTTTAAATAAAAAAATCTTTCGTTGGTCGAAGTTTTTACTTAGACTCCTTACGTTTATGCGTTATTGCCTTATTTTCATTAAGTTGAATTTTTAAAATGCTGCAAAATATTTACATTTAAATCTTTTGAAACACTTTTGACGAAAAACTGTTATCACAGTTTAGGAGGGAAAAGAATTTTTGCATATGTGATCGTATGTGACCCGATTGAAGGTGTTAAAAGTAGGCAAAAGGTGACCTGCTTTATGGATGGTCCATAATAGCATTTACTAACGATTTTTTTTACTAAAACAAAAACGAAAAAATTCTTACTGATTTTTTAATATTAGGAGAATAGCAAGTATGTCTTTTTTTTTTTAATGACTAAATGCAAATAGTTATATATTTCTTATTTTATTTATATAATTCTTAGTTTATTTATATGATTCTTATTAATTATTTGTTAATTTCTTATTAATTATTTATGTTAAATAAAATAAGAGTTCATAAACAAATAAAAAAGTTATAATATAAATAATTTTAATTAACATTTAAAAAAATAAAAGATTTTTTTTAATTCTCCTAATATAAAAAGTTCCAAACCCTGACCTTGTCAACAAGTAATAATTACTTAATGACGTAATGCGTTTTGTTTACGAAAAAAAGCGAGAGCTTAAGTAAATGTTTGTGGTTTTAACTTACGTTTCACAAATTTAAAATTAAAATGTGCTTTAACAACTAGGCATCGTTATTTAAAACTTTAAATGTAAAAACGTAACATTTAATATTCTTTCGCATATATTATTAAAAACCTTGAGTTTTTTAACTAAATTTTATAAAAAACAAAACTTAATCATGTCTTTGTTAACTTACGGGTAAAAATTTCTCAAAAAACACAAAAAAACATAAATCTGCACCCTATATCACCAAATTTTTGATACTTGGCACAAATGTTTATAGACATATGTTAGGAAAGACTGTAATTTTTTTTTTATAAAATTCTTCACCGTTTATAATTTACAGCAATTTGATTTTGACTAAAAACTGAGGGAGGAAAAGTGCCGAAAATCATTCCGTTTATTTTCACCTTAACATGGTGCTTGTAGTGATGCCACAACTCTGAAACCTTTTACCAAAAGAGTTTAAAACCTGTTAAATCCGAAAAATATAGTTTTTTATATGTCAAAATAAGGGAATGTAGCTTATTTTAAGATCCATAAAATACACTTTATAACGCCGAGAAAAAAGGGCATTGACAATTATAGCTATAAAAAAAATCTGACTGATATAAAAAAAATTTAATTTCGATTTTCCTAAAAATAAGATCAACACCTACTTTTCGAACCAATTTTGTTTTGGTCTTATATTTACTTGAGGAATTATTGATGTTTGATATAGACACAAAATTTTGTAATATTTTTTAAATTAGACATTTAATATAACCCCACCTTTTACCAATCAATCAAATTAGAAACTAAAAATTAAGTGACTTTATTATCTTTTTCATTTTCATATGATATTTACAACAAAATTTAAACTTATATAAATTTTTTTTTTAAAATACTAAACTTTAGTGATTTTATATATGCTTTATATTCACATTATTTACAAGTTGGTTCACAAAACATAATATTTAAAAAAAGAATGGATAAGACATAATAGACTCATAAATATAAAATCCTTTATTCCTTAGGAAAGTAATTTTTTTTAAGTTCTCTTTGGCTAAATAGTAGCAAAGTTCTGTTTTTGTTATCGGTACCTCAACTTTGCAAATAATGTGGACATCAGGAATACTGCATTGGTTTTCCTTTGGTGGCCATTTAAACGACCGTGCAGGACCATTAAGACACATAAATTTTACAAGCACATCTTTTTCTTTTAAATTAATATCTTCAATATTTTCAAAGTCATGAATTAAAGCAAATTTTTCATCAACACTGCATAGCTTAGTGCCTACCTAAACAAAATAGTAACATATGCAATTATTCCGTTTTACTTATCAAACATGTTTTATTAAATGCATAGATAGCAAATGCAGAGGAAATAAAATAAAATACAAATATTTTTGATAATGATTCTGCAAAAATCTAATATCTATTTGAGTTTATCAATGAAAGTTATGCGTGTATTTTAAAATATGGTAAAAGGTATAATTAAAATAATAATTTACCTTTTGATGGCCAAGTGGTACAAACTGATGCTAACTACATTGTTTGTGGAGATAAAACATGATTACCCATATCTCTTTGCAAACTTCCTAGTGTTGCCAGACGTTTGACTGCACCACCTATCCCATCACAAGGTTGCTTACCGTGACAAGTTGCAAAAAAGTTCCATTTAGCAGTAAAACCAAAATTGTCACAATGGAAACAAAGATTTAACATATTTTGCAAATCTTATATTGATCTGCACACCCATCTGAAAAGTATTCAATATTTTTTATTTGAGGCAAATTTGTTTTATATCATTGCAAACAACCTCAATAATTTTATAAACCATGTTCACATCAGGGATCATATCATCCGAAATAATACAATAGGATTTGTGCTTGAGAATGCCTTCTTTTTTGAAATAATCACTGGATGAAGTGAACATTGTAAATTTGTCCAATGAAAGCTTTGCACTTCAATCTGAACTACAAATTTATAGTTTTCTCTAAGTATATCATAAGGTTTTTCAACTAATGCATTCATAGTTGCTGGGCATTTTTCATATTTCCTCATCATACAGTCTTTATTAGTTATATCACAGACAATATAAGGTAACAATTTTTTGTATGTCACACCAAGAGGATGCAAAAGCAGTTTCAAATTCTGGTGAATAGCACAGACGCACACAGAATGTGTTCCTGAAGCACCAAAAGTAATACACCACTTAGGTCGCAAGGTGCAAAACCTTGAAAATCCTATTTTTATTTCTGGGTTCTTGGTTTTAAAGGCAACAAACAATTCCTTTAAATTACATAAGAGCAAACGTTTTTGCATGCGGACATTTTTCTTTATGCTTACATAGTCCTTTTTACCAGGCATTATACGTCTATGTTCATCGTCTTCGTAAAAGGTCTTGACCAGTTGAACTGTTACATCAGGAAGAGCTTTTCCTAATTTAGGATTAGGCATGGTTAAAATACCTTTTTTTAATGTTAACTTACGTGCAGTTTGAGCTACATAGTTTGTTACATGCAATGTTTCAGATACCTTTTTTATTGACCAGTCTGTTGGAGCAAGTGTCGCAAGTTGTACTATTTTAAATGTTGATGTAGACTCTGCAATTTTGTTAGTTAACAATACCATCATGTTATCAAACAAGTTTGCTTTTTTCATATACTCATTATTAAAACTTGACTGTTCTTCAAAACTTTCTTCTGATATATTAAGGAAAATGGCCACCTTTTTTTTCTACACTTTCTTTTTTATTTTTAATGGATCTTTCATTAACAATATCAAAATCTTCATCATTTTTATTTTCACTTATACTTTTTGATAAACATGTCATAACTTTACTTTGACAGGTTAGACACAGTTTTTTTCCAGGTATAAGATTTAAACCTATGGTTTCTGCTTCTAACACAGTATGCATTGTAATCACACGTAGAGATGCTTAAAAAGAAAGTAATTACATTACTTAAGGAACATTAATTATATATACTATGTAATTATATTACTATACAATTTGTTATACTATTAACTATGAAACATTGATCAAATCTTATTACCAAAAAAACTTATATGACTTATTAATAATGATATTACCTAATAAAATATAAATATATAAATTTTTACCACTACACACCTTTTGGTGACTCAGAAATGGATTACAGCAACTTTTCTGATTACCCTCATATCTTACAACTAACATATCATGATGGTGTGTGCATATATTAGCAATTTGTTCTTGTTTCAGATTTGTTCGTTTTTCAAGTAGCTTACGATCATTGCTGTCAATCAGATTTCTTTCTTGAGTATATGATTGTTTGTAACAAGCTCCATAATTATTTACAAAGCACCAATTAATTTTGTTATTCATATGAAAATACAACTAGGAATCTCTGTCTAAACACTTAATACAAGAAATCTTAAATAATCTTAATGTCCCTAACAAGAAAAGTACACTTGAACACAAACAATATCAGATCAATATGTATTTATAAAGAACATATTGCTTGAACAAGTAGCTATTAGTTTAATAGACATATTTTAAATGCCTAACTATCTACTAATTATTGTAAATTCTCCATTAACTACTTACAAAAAGTTGTGTAAAAGTAAAAGATAACTAAATATAATTTTATTTAGTTATGTAACTTAACATGGTAATGCTAATTAGACATTATTATATCATTTTATTACTTTTTTTATTGATGATAATAAATATTTTATTACAACAAAACAAGCAACAGCAAAAGTTACATAATATTGTTCAATTTAATGACATGATATTATGTAATGAAAATGACATTATTATTATGTAATGAAAGTAAAAAGAAACAAATTTATAAAATGTTCAACTATGTTTTGTAATAACTTAGTAAATTTTTTACAAAGCTATTACAAAACAAAAATAATTGTATTTGTATTCAAAATATATTTGCAAATTTTTTTTTTTTTGCAAAATATCTTTAAAAAAATTGAAAAACTAAAACATCAATAACTCCTTGATAAAACATAAGGCCAAATAAAAATTGGTTCGCAAAGTAGATATATGTTTATTATTTAAAATAACGAAAACCAAAACTTTTTTTCATCAGTCAGATTTTTTCTAGAACTATAGTTGTCAATGGCCTTTTGCATTGTCATTAACAAGTGCGTTTGTGGATCTAAAAATAAACTATATTTTATAGTTTTGAGAGATATAAGTTGATGATTTTCAGATTCAGCAGGTTTTAAACTCGTTTGGTACCAAGTTTTAGCTTCGCAACATTACTACAAATTTATTAAAAGGGTAATGGTAAATAGACATATTTCCGGCTTTAGCCCTCTCTTTTTTCTCTCTTTTTTCAGTCAAAAAATAACTTCAAGTAAATCTGCTGTAAATCTTAAAGGATTGAGAATTTTTTGAAAAAAAATTTACAGTCTTTCCTAACTTATCTTTAAACATTTGTGCCAAATTTCAGCGAGTTTGGTGATGCAGGGTGCAACCCCTTGTTTTTTTACCCCTTACGCTACATGAAAATTCCAAAAGTTCATTCGTTATTTTCCTAAAATATATACATTTTATAAAGTTTAAATCTGACCACAATAATTTGAACATGTTAGCTAAATTATTTTATTATGCAAATAAATGGTATGAATAACATTTTACAATAAAACCTTTTATATGATGCTTCAATGAGGAAAACCGTAACTTTCGCAGGCATAAAAATGGCTTAAATAAATTAATTTTAGTATTAAAGATATATTTTAAATAAACTTTCATATGTCAACATCCATATTCATTTGATAAAAGTTGACAAAAAAATAAAATAAAATTTGACTAATTTTTTATTTTCTGCCGTGGAATTGCCGATATATAAAATAATAACTATTTTTAAAATTTTTATAAACTTTTTTTTGAGTACAAGTTTCACTATCAAAGAAATTTATTTTTATGTTACATTTTAACGCGTTAAATATTCAAGAGTTCCGTGAAAATATTATTTTAATAGAAGGCTATATTTGTATGTGTAGTATTTGTAGTAGGTATGTCAGTTACCTTTTCAGTTTTTTATAAATCTAACTAATTAACCAATAAAAAGTTACAAAAGCTAATAAAATATTTCTTATAAAATTCAAATTAATACTTACAACCTGCGCTAATATTACTGAGAAGTAACAATTGATTTCAAAACATTTATACCCGTCTTAAACATATCACTAAAACAATATTTTTTACATTTCTTTGATAAAACTATACTATTACTCTGGTTCTTAAATAAATCATTTTTACCTAGTCAACCAAAACAATGGTTATGAAGACAAAAAAAATAGGGCAATCAAATCAGGCGATCCTTCTTTAATTACAAATCATCGTCCAATTTCAATTTTTAACTTGTTTTTCTAAAATATTAGAGCGAGTTAAGCACAATAGGCTTCACTCTTTCCTAAAAGTAAATAATATTCTTTACTATAAACAATTTGGATTCAAACCTGGCCATTCCACCGATCATGAATCATTCACCTTTCAAGACATATTTAAATCGTTTAATGAAGGCAAGTATACCCAGGTTTTTTTATTGATTTAAGTAAAGCTTTTAATACAGTCAATCATCAAATCCTTTTTTTTTCTTGTTTTAGTTAATATTATTTACATGTCATGTAATATAAACATATAAACTTGAAATCTGAAAAAAGATCATATCGATCTTGTCGCCAGAACCATATAAAAAATACAATATAAATATAATATGAAATAATACAAGCACTTTATAACAAAATGACAATTTAAATATTTGAAATATAAATGGTTAAAATAATATCAAAATAATATTTTTTCTTTAAATTGTATTTAAAATTTCGGATAATATAAATACAAAATTATTGTAATTTATTATACAAAATTTTAAATATAATTTAAAAAAATATTATTATATAACTTGTATTTAAAAACAGAAAAAGAGATAGATGAATCTAGACTCGGCTGGAAAACTTTATTTCAGATATAAGGTTCTCGATAATCTATACAAAACCCTTTTTTTTTAAACTCAATAGCTATGGTATAGAAAATAACTTGCCCTGATTTGAGAGCTACTTGGTTGATAGGAACCAATATTTAGTTTTAATGAAGGAAAAACATATTATAAGAAAATTAAATGCGATAATCTTTAAGAATCATTTTTAGAACCACTTTTATTTCTCTACAGCCAACATTTTGATGCGGGCGCCGTGTGGGACCCGTACGGGTTTCAAAAGGGACCCGTACGGGATTTGGCTGCGAGATCTATATGGGTACCATACTAGCCAAATAAAAAAAAAAAATTATCGGCTGCTTTTTCTTTTTTTCCCTATTGACACAAGAATTTTCCCGAATATAATTTTTTTTTTTTTTTATTATCTATAACAGATTTTTTATACCTTATATTAAGCAAGTCTGGTTAAAGCATTTTTTTTTCATTATAAATAGATTAAATGATTAATTTAATTATGATAATTTTTTATAAAAGTTTAAAAAGCTGAATGTTTTATATGCAAATTGAAAACACAAGGGCATATACATGTATGCTTTATTATACAAAATAAATTGTTATTACATATGTAATCAATATATACCTACTAAATCAAGAAGATATAGTAACAAAATCAAATCATAATGTTTTATAGTAAAATGTTGAGACTACCTAATGCCATATTTTTGAATAAAATATATTGCAAAAGAAAGTTACTCTTGTAACATTTCTTTTGCAATTTATTTTAACTAACGTATGTTTAGGTGCTGCATAAAAACTATAAAATAAAACAAAATTTATCAAAAACACTTCTTGAAGAAGCACTTTCTGCATGGTTTGGTTATGCTCAAGACAAAGGCAAAGATGGCCGAAAAAAAAGAATTTCAAATGCAGCATCAAATAGAGAAGAGAACATATAGAATGTATAAAATGCAGCAGCAAACATGAAACGTAAATAATACAGCAACATCCAGTTATATACATATTGATTACATATGTAATAACAGCTTATTTGATTGAATAAAACATACATGTATATGCCTTTGTAATTTCAATTTGCATATAACGCATTTAGCTTTTTAAACTTTTATAAAAAAAATTATTATAATTAAATTAATCATTTAATTTGTTTAAAATGAAAAAAATGCTTTAAACAAATTACTGTTTATCTAAGGTATAAAAAATCTCAGTTATGCATAGTAAAAAAGAAAAAATATATATATCCGGGAAAATTCTGGGGTCAATAGGGGAAAAAAGAAATAGCAGCCGTTAAATTTTTTGTTTTTTTTTATTTGGCCCGTATGGTACCCATATAGATCCCGCAGCCAAATCCCGTACGAGTCCTATTTGACATCCCGTACGGGTCCCACACGGCGCCCGCATCAAAATGTTGGCTGGGTCATTTATATGAATAATTGAAATAAATTTTCTAACAGTTTAAATACTATTTTGTTTGTAGATGATGTTTGTTTTATTCCAATAAAGACATCAATATGTTACTTTAAACAGTAAAGAAATAAGTAAGACAAACTAACCCAATGGTTTAAATCAAACAAATTATTATCATTATATATTACTGAAACTTTACTCTGTCTATAATATAAAATCAGTCTGTATATTTTACTCTTAATAACTTTACTCTATCGTCTGTATATAAAATCAGTTATTCTCTTAGAACTTTCGGACCTTTTATTGATAATAAATTAATAAAGAGAGAGCAATCAATAAAGTTTTTAGCCGTGTTTGCAGACAAAAATGTTACCTGGAGGGAACATATAGGTGTAGTTGAAGATAAAATATTGAGAAATTTAGATATTATGTACAACGCTAAGCAGTTATTAAATCAATTTTGTTTAAAAAGCATTTACTTTTCTTTTTATTCATTGCTACTTAAGTTATGCGAACATTGTTTGGTGCAGCACCAACGCAACGAAAATGAAAAAAATGCCTAGTAAACAAAAACTGGCTAAAAGGATAGTTTCAAAAGTAGATCATTTCTCACACACACAAACATTGATATTCATTAAATATGAACTCAGTATCCTTAATGTATATAAACTAAACCTCTATTATGTTCTTGTTTTCATTATCAAACTTGATAAAATTATATTACCAATCTTATTTAATTCAATTTTTGAAAAAGTAAGTCACATATACCCTTCTAGATTCTCAAAATACAATTACATTCAATTCAAAATTTATTATTCTGCTACTAAATTCTCTATTGTAAACCGAGGACCAAAGTTGTGAAACATAATATTAAATAATAAACTGAAAATTATTTATTCACTAAACCAATTTAAAGCAAAACTTAAGCAATTAATTTCGTTAAATGAAAATGTACTAAATTTCTTTTAACAAAGCTTCTTTATATTAGAATCAATAATAATAATGAAATAATTACTTTAGATATTATCAGGGCCTTCGAGAGCGTCAATGGCGCCCGGGTCAAAAATGAAAAGCGACGCCCTTAATTCAAACTAGTTGAAGAAATTAAAATTTTAAAAGTTTTATGAACGCAGTAGCTATTTTTTTTCTAATACAGTACATTGTACTTTTGCGTTACCATTAATTCTCTGGATTGAGAAACGGTTTTTTGACATGATCAAAACATTAGCTTTAAAACTATTAAAAAATTAATCAACGAAACCTTTAAGAAAGGTAAACAAGGCGCTTAAAAATAAACTTTTTGAGTTTTTATGGTCACCCAAATAATAATGACATTGTCGTAGCTAACTCTTTTCGCCAAAATCTTCTTTAATCAAAATAATCAAATACCAGTAACGCGATTCTGGCCCATGGTCAAAGGAAAGAGTTTTTTACAATTTTTAGTTTACTAAACGATTGTTCATCTTTAGCAACTGACTTGGGAATAGTGTTGAAAATCCGGAAAATGATACAGCTGTATGGAAAAAAAGCGTTCAAGTTTCTCTTACAAGATTAGATTGTATATCGCGGAAATTGTAAAAACGGCAAACTTTTTTAATGAGAATCTTTTTGTTTACATCTCTCAGATAAAACCGCGCAAGTTCTTATACTTTTTTTCAAATAGAAAGATTATCATTATCCAACCAGACGAATAAAAACATATTGCCAACCATCCTTCTCATCTCAAATCTTGAATCAATATGCTGGATCAGGCAATCTAAATCAACATTAAAAACGTTCACTTTAAGTTCCTTTCTTTGACTGAAGTGGAAATGGGCTGTATTTGATGCCTAATCATAAAGGTGCTTTAACTTACGCTTTCCTTTAGTAGCGAGTTCAGCTTCCAATCCTAGCGAGTCACCTACAATTACAGCCTCTTAGAAAATTTGCAACCAAGTGTCCGTAATCCATTTACGATTTTGAAGCAGCTGTCCAATCAAATGTACATCATCATCAATGGTAATGGCTGCAGATTGTAGAAGACGACTAACAGCTACTCACTGGTCAAACATAGATTTTCACGACATGTTTAAGAGCTGCCAACATTTCTCTACACATCAGCCACATTTAGATCGTGAGCGCTACCGGGAACGTACAGAGCTTAATAAATTCGCAAAAATTTTTACCTTATTAAGGCTGAGCTTCTTTGTAAGCACCTGATACAATGGTCCCATTTTCGTGTCCCTGACCGCAACATTTTTGAACATCCATTCTCAACCTTAAAACTAAATTAGTGATTAATTTAGCTATATCAACTTCTTTCTTCATCTGAAAAGTTTCAACACACAAGTATTGTTGATTTTCGAACAGTTAATTTCTCTTCCATAGAGGAGAAAACGAATAACAAAGATTATCTGTTGAGTATGTGATATATTGGGGGTACAATCGACTATGATTGTGAAGTAGATACCATTCTGGATTTCTTCGAGAGCTGCAATTTGGTTAGATTGATGCTGTTTCACACGATTTATGAGTTTCTTCCATTGATCCCTAGCTCCTCTTTTTCTAACGAAAAAGGGACAATTACCAACTTTTGAAAACTGCTTTTGGGCTGGGTTTTTTTTTTAAATAATTACATCTGATTTTTTTGACTCAAAACAACTGGCCACAAAGAGGGGTTAGCAGTGATTATTACCGAGTCAAATTGAACATCGCATTCTTCACTGTAAGATATAAAGTTTCTCGCTCTGACTCTGATGATTAACTTTGAAATTCTTCAGCTTAGATTTAGGAAAATTTTTGAGAATTTTGAGCCCTCTACTGATCCACAGTTCTTCAAATCACACATATTGGGTGTTGTAAATTACACGTATTGAGTGCAGCAAAGATGCAAAAACTCAAATATTTGATAACTGTTTGGGTGCTGGTAGTCGCAAAGTTGCTTATTTTTCTAAAAAATGCAAAGCTATGATTCTTTTGTTTCAAAATCAAATACTACTTAAAAGAGTAGCGCTTTTATCGTGAAATCGACAATAAATGTCTATTGTGTTTGTTTTTTTGCAAGAAGTTGAAGCGAGCCCATGGAACGCATTACCAAACGAAGTTTTCAGTTCAATTAGTGTTGACTGCTTCCAAGCGATATTTGATCAGTTACCATTATAATTACCACATTGCATCATCTTCGAAACAACCAAGCATGAGCTAGCATTGTTAACTGTTCACAGGCTTACGGAATATTCCCGCTTTATTCTAATTCTACTTCAATATTTTTTTTTTTTTTGTGTAAAAAATAGTTTATAATTAATTATAAGAATAGAATTTAAATTTTGAATTATTTTTTTCATGAGCATATTTATTCCCAATACTAAAGTTTTAATCTCAAGTACAAAAACTAAACAGATTTCAAATTGTCAGTCATTAAAATATTTTATATTTATTGTAAAAAAAAAAAATATTAAAAATAATTAAATATAAAATCAACGAATTGCCCGGCGCCCTTTAAAGCTTGGCGCCCGGGTCAATTTGCCCCTCCCTCTCGAAGGCCCTGGATATTATATTATTTAAATAATTAATACATAATTAATCAACATATGTACATATATTTTATTATTGTAAATGATAATCATTTTAAGAAATTTATTTTTATTTATGCGCTGTTTGTTAATCCTTTACATTTACTTTTTACAGTTTCTTTGCATTTACTGTATTGGCAATAATTGTCTTCTTCTTGCCCCGGTCTTGTTATTACTTTTTATATGTTACGACTGTAATTTTTTTTATTTTGGCAAAATGTAAACAAATTAAAAAAACAAAATTTTTCTAAAATTATATATTTTTTCAATTTGTAAAAAGATTTATCAATAATGATATGGTAAGTTTTTTGAACAACAAACAAACAAAAGTTTCAAACTTTAGTTTATAAATTCAATTTTGTATGATCTTTAAGAAAAAGTTGTTTTTTCAAAATGCCAATATATATAAAAATAGAGAGGTAAATATGTAAGGAGAAGGGTAAAGAGTTACTAAAAAATAGCAAAATTTTTGGCTTTAATTAACAGCAACATTTTTATCAAAGGATTTTGATAGTAATTTTTTTTTTATAAGCTGAGCCATCTTCTTATTCCAAAGCCATAACAGTTCAAGTGCAGCAGCCAGTTGTTGAAAATGTAAGTAACTTTTACTAAATAAATTTAAAAGTTTGTAAAGTTTATTTGTCCAAATCTTTTAATAAAAGCTTTCGAAAAACTTAAATATCTTCAGCATTAGAAATCTACTTTTTTTTCGTTTAAAACTAAAACTTTAGTTGAAAAATAATTAAAGTCTTATCATTTTTATTTATCAAACCTTTTATTTCCCTTTCCAGCAAAAATCATTTAATACCTAAAAATGTGACTGATCTTAATCTTGTTTATGAAAATAAGTAATTTAAAGCCGGAGGTAAACCGGAAACGATGTATACCATATCTTAAACAGGGTTTGTTTACAATTGAACCAACTGAATCTACAAATTTTTAATTTTAGATTTACTTTTATTACTAATATAAGATTATTGAATTTTAATATTAAAAATGCTTATTCTTTTGTAAAGACGTGTTTTTAATATCAAATAATATAAATAAAAAAAATAATATTAAATTGTAATAATATAAAAAGGTATTTGTAGCTCGTTAAATAGTATTTAAAAATTGTCTTTTTTATTATCTGATATTTAATAAAATTTCTTGGTATTTATAAAGTAAATCCATATGATCTATTTTTTTAATTGATGATGTTGCTTCAAAGTTATAAGTAAAAACAATGAAAATGAATTTCTAGTATTTTCTAAAAAAATTTAGCATAAGATATAATTAAGTATTATTTAAAAAGATCTTACCCAACAATGCAACTACTTTAATAATACTCATAATAATAATAGTCATAATAATAGTCAATTATCTTTGTAATACAAAAAGAGTTTTTTATTTATTTTAAAAAAACGTTTTACACACCGTTCAGAGATTACTCAGTTCAACAATAAAAAATTAAATATGATGTAAAAATTAAATTAAAAAATAAAAGCAATGTGTAAAAAATCAAAGCATTTAATAGATTTAATTTAGGAATATTGCGTTTAATGTTTACTTTTAAGTGTCTTTGATCTCTAAAAAGACTTAAAACTTTATTTATTCCCAAAAAATAACTAAGATACTTTTAGTAAACAAGAGAAGTTAAGTTTGCACAATATTTATAATAGTCATTACTAGGTTGTAAGGAATCTCAACATTGTGCTAAACACGCCGTTAATTTTTGTTCGACATTCTCCCGATTGCCAGTTTGCGCATGTTTTCACACCTAAAGTAATAGTAAGAGGATAGGATAGCTCAGTTAGTTAGAGCGTCAAACAAACAGTTTAAACCCGGACTGTTGTAAGATAGGAGTTCAAATCCTGCCACCATCAACTCAGAGCTTGAATAGTACTTCGGTACGAAAAAATTTTGGTCAATAACGGACGCAACTTTAGATTAGTCTTAATGACTATTTGTGGCTGTTCCTATGCTAAGCCAACAATATCTTTGGATATACGAACATTGTATAAAAAAAAATTCATGAAAATTCAAATTAAATAAAAAAAGAAGACCATGTGAAAATAAAAATAAAATTTTATTAGACCAAACAAAATCAAGAATATTTTCAAGCGGTTTCTATCGTACAGACATTTAGCACTAAACTTGAAATCGGTTAATCAGGAAACAAATGCGTATTTTTAAATTTCAGGTGACAAATAAATAAAAACTTTTATAACTTTACATTTTAACATAAAAGATAAAATCTTAAAAAAAAAGTTGTTGTTTTTTTAATCGAATAATAAAAAAAAAATATTTAAATGGTTGCCAATTTTCTGAAAATTAGTCATATAGCCACACAGAACCATCAGAGATAAACTCATATTTATCTTTTACTTCATTTATTAAAAAATTTGGATGTCAGTGTGTTAGGTCCATATTTAACTAGAGATTTTAAAGACAACTCATTTTTAGGTTTTAAGGCTTTTTGAAAATCAAAAATGTCTATATATCTCAAAAAATAATTATTAACTTTTAAAATTTCTTGCTAAAAAGAAAGATGTTAATGCAAGCATAAATTTCTGATGTAAAACTGTGTCTAGAAGATAAAATATAGTGGTTTTTCAAGCATTTTTATAGAGTTACTTATTATGATTTAAATAATACGAAAAATGTGAAAATACATATATTCTTCCATCAACAAAAATATAATTTCAACATATTAACACATTCTTTGACTAATTAAGCTATGAATCTTGGTTACTTAACTGCATATTTTAGTATAGACTAAACCAAACGTAAAAATATTCCAGTCTACACGACATTTAATTTTAAATTAACGCTATGAAAAATTGTTGGCTTGTTCGAAGTTACTGGATGAGAAATGATAAAGATTGTAGAGCAAATTAAAGATAAACAGACGACTTAAACGATTGCAAATTATATAAATCAGGAAAACAAGTTGAAGGTGGTGAATTCCAAAGAACTGATGTTTGCGGAAAAAAACTAGACTTTTAAGAATTTTTGGGGCACTTAGGAAAAGTTGCAGTAAACCGATAACACTTAATTAAATGATGAGTAACACAAGAATATATTTAAGGAAAAAGCATAAGAGACGCTAGCTCTTTAGAGCAGTGCCCATTATGGTATTTATAGAAAAGAGAAAGAGAAAAGAGAAAGCAACATTACGACAATATCATAATTTGTTGAAGTTGGCTGCAAGAGCGGGTCTAAAAATGCGTTAGTGCACTTAGTCTATAAGAAAAAGGGCAACGTAGTAAGATTTGCCCGAAATATGGCTTCAGTATTCCATACAAAGAGGGATTTGAGATGTAAAGAGAAAAATAATAGAATTCGCAGTAAGAATGTGGCAAACACGATTAAGAGATGCAACATTAGAAGATGCTAATTTTGCATTTGATTTAATATATGGTTTTCTATAAAAATTGGAAGTGAGACTTACTTCTAGAAGATGAAAGGTAGAAACGTCGAGAGTTTTAGTAAATATGGCAGCTTTGGAAATTTTTATTGTAAACAAACCGCAATTAAACATACATGGTCAACTTAAAGGTAAAACATGTTTTGTACACAATATATATTCCATGGTATTTATAGTTTATAAACTATTGTGAATATATATATATATATATATATATATATATATATATATATATATATATATATATATATATATATATATATATATATATATATATATATATATATATATACATATATTGTCTTTTATCTTAGAAACTAATTTTTTTAAACTGTCCTGATAATACTTGTACTTGCATCGTTGCCTCCTACACATGTTGGTTAAACTTGGAAAGGTAATTCAGCATTTAGAACTTAGACGGTGCTTAACTTTATAATAAGCTGCTTAACTTTATATAAAAAAGAAGAAATTATTTCATGCAAGCCTGAGCTTTAAGGAAAAACTGTTTAAATTCATGTAAACTTTATATGCACACAGTGTTTTAATGTTAAAAAATAAACACAAATGTTTGCTGGTTTTTGGTACAAAAAGTTTACTATCAATGAAAACTCGCAAAAAACATGTTAATTTTATTACAGTTTTATAACATTATTTTTGACTCAAATATATGTACATCTTCTAACAGAGATAGTCCCATTCTAACAGAGATAGTCACATAGATAGACACATACCGTATCTGATACATTCCCCAAAATAAGAGTAATAAAAAAAATCCTTGTAAACAGAGGTATTGTGATAAGGTTTCATTAAAAAAATTTGATTCTTGATTTAATTAGAGCAAATGTTGCAATTTAAAAATAGAATTTTTATTCTGTCTACAAAACAAAAATGTTGTATTCTTGGAATTTATTTTAAATAAAGTTTTATTTTATTGCAAAGACTATTTTTTTAATGATGTTCTTATTAAAACTTGATGTGCACTTTAGATAATATATTGTTTATCTTTTCTGTTGATTTAATAATATATAGTAGACTTAAAGATTAACTATTATTTTTTATTTTATAGTGTTTTCACCAGTGTAAAATAAAATTTTATTTGAGTAAAACAGAGATGGTCATACTTGTACTTTTTTTTGCCAAAATGTATACAATATTTAACATAAGCAAAGAATATACAACATCTAACATAAACAACTGTTACAAATAAAAATTTAATCAGCGATTTGAGGGTTTTATCAGGTCCCAGTAAGACAAATACATTAAAAATTTACATAAAATTATATATATTGTTGTTCCAGATAATATTTTTGATGCCTTTAACAATGTCAGGTTTGTAAAAAAAAAAAATAACAATAATTATCAACAAAAATAATAAAAAAAGCATAGGTACTTTAATATCCGTAAAACCTAGAATATTAGTTATAATAAGAAATATATTTTTAATGATGTTGTAATTATATTGTTGTTTTTTTTCAAAAAACGGAGAATAGATAAGATTGAGTTTTTTAAAACTACTGTCTATTATACTTTTCTAGTTCCGTGTCAGGGTGTGGTAATTCAGACAGCTGAACATTAAATTATTTTAATATTTTTAAACAAATTTAGGCAGTAAGGTAACTTAATGTGAATCTGTTTTAATTGTATTATTTAGGTTAAGTAGTCGCCGGGTCCGATTAAAAATTAAGTTTGACTTTTTCAGTTCAGAAAAACATTGAGTTTTAACAAAATAAATCGAACCTCGGGAAATGTCAAAGTATTGTGATATATTTAAGCTTGAAATCAACTGTTCTTTTAATTAATTTTGAGCTCAAATGATTATTCAGATCTAAAAGATAACTCTATCATTTTAGATAGTAAAGATAAGCGTACGAAAAATGATAATTGATTTGTAGAAAATTAACGATATAGCTTTAAACATAGTAAGTTTTTAAAACTTTAAGTATTTAAAAACTTACTGTGTTTGTAAATGGAAAAGTTTTCAAATATGACAGAGTTTGTAGATCAGCTGTATAACAAAGTAAAAAAGTTAAAAGTAAAACTGGGAAAAAAAATTGTGTCAATAAGTTTAACCTACAATTACAAAGCCAACTTGTACATCTTTTCAAAACTAGACAAAAGTTGTGAGCATATTAATAACAGGCAACCCTCTCACTTATTGCTATCCTTTACGTTTTCTTGGATTATCGTTTGCTACTGACCCTTCATGAATATCATATATACAATCGATTATTAAATTAGCATCTGCTACGTTTCCTTCACTTTATCGTCCTCACCGTTTTCTTTCTCATGATTCCATTCTCTACTTCTCTAAGTTTCTTATTTGTTTCTGTATGGAATACTATTGTTATATTTGGGTTAGCTCTTCTAATGATGCTCTTTCTCTTCTAGACAAGGTTAAAGAACACACTGTAAATGTGGTTGGACGTGTTATATTTGCCAATCTTGAGCCTTTTTCCTATTGTCATAAAGTTGCATCATAAAGTTGCATCTTTTTCTCTATTCTACAAATGCTATTGTAATCGCTGCTCAAAGAGCTATCAACTCTAGTTCCATCAATAAAAACTCATTCTCTCTTGCATCATCATTCAGCAAAGTCTCATTTTTTAAGTGAATCAGTCCCTGTATGCTCTAAAAACTTTTGCTAGTCTAGTTTTTTCCCTAGACTTCAACCCTTTGGAAATCTCTCCCATCTTCATGTTTTCCTGGCTCATACAACCTTAAACTTTTGTTTTCTGTCAACCATTTCCGCGCTCCAATAAATCTATCCTTTTTTTTCTAGAAACTTCCAACTTAATAGCGTTTGCCTGCGGCTTTACTGTAAGTGAATCAGAATAAAATATATTAATATTTATATTTATTTTTAAATAAAAGAGATTTATTTAAAATATTTACCAAACAAGTTATTTAAATTTTATGAAAATTTTTATCCGTAAATTCTAATATATAAATATAAATCTGCAGGCTATAACAGTAACTTTTTCAATTTGTATATTCACGAAAATATTTTCTTTTTAATTCTAATACTTTTGATCAAAATGAATTTTGATTCCTACAGATTAGAGCCTTCTCCTCATAATCATACATACAGCTAATTTGCATTCATACATACAGTTACATTATATTCTTTCATATAGCTACATTACATTTGCGCATACAGCTACATTAGATTCATACACGCAGCTACATTACATTTATAAATACAGCTGCATCACGTTTTTTATACACAATCATACAGCTAATATTACACGTTACAACCTAACAGCTAACATTCCTCCACCGTACAGCTTTATACCTAATTATAAAACACTGAGTGTTTAAATTCATGCCTTCGTTTTTAAATAAACCAACTTGGATATATTGTCTGTGAAACAGCCAATATATCGTTTCTAGTACTTAAGTAAATTGCCAACACATTTTATTATTGTCAAAAAACAGTAACAAATAATATTGTTTTTTGCTAATTTTAACTATTTCATCAGGTAATATATTTGGCACTTTTAATTTTAATTTCTAAAAAAGCATCTTTAACTCTTACAAATTTTACTATATTTGATTACTTTTAACACACTTTTAATGTATTAACGTAAACTATTAAGTTTTTATAAAGAATATTTTGGCAAGTTTTACGCATTAAAAAAACTTATTTCAAATGGAGAGAATTGAGAATTCAATTTTTTCCGTAAGAAAATAGTTTTTTTAAATTTTTTTGGGAAAACTTATGACTTAGTTTCCTAATACGTGTTGCACCTTGAGACGTTCTACTGCCAAGCCAAGTGTGCAACATCATTCCCAATCAATTGTTAAACAACAATGTTAGTTATTACGTTTTTTTTTTTCTAACTTTAACGCCTACTTGTTTATTCTCTGACTATTATTATTTTTGAAAACACTTTGACTAATGATTCCACGGGCTTATAAAGATCAATAAACAGTTACTATTATAGGCTACAACTTTACATAGACAATTGCTGGAAGATAACGATTATATCTAATGCGACAGGTCTTTAAAAACGTTTCTCTAACATTAATCTACTCTTGATAAATTGTGAAATCAAAATAATCAAAACAAAAACAAATATAGTCCAACTGTTTGTCATTATGACAAACAGTTATTATCTATGACATAGATAATCTAAAAAATAATAAAAAAATATAATATAAATATAAAAATATAAACATAGATAAATTATCTATGACATAGAAAATTTCGTTGCCAATGTAAAGTTGATTGCCACTCGAAAAGCACCTTAGGTAAACTATGAACTAATTTTTAATTTATATTTTACATTAATTATAAAGATGTTTAATGTAAGAATTTAAATTAAAAGAACATTTTGAACCGAAATTAAATACTTAAAAATTCATTTCCATGCCCAAGCTTTTTGATCAATACTTTATTCGTTTTGATTTTTTTAATATTTAATTTTGAATATAAATGAAATTCATTAACGAATTTAGAATTTCTTCATTAGCTGTTATCAATTGTTTTGTTTTTAAAAAGAGTGGGTTACATCCAACAATTTGGATTTCGATGATACATCATAGTGAACAAATTGCTTTTTATTGCTTAAACAACTTTTTAAAAGCTTCAAAACATTGCCAGAGATTCCATAATATTTAAGTTTTTTGAATAGAATTTTATGATCTATCGTATCAAAGGCTTTAGACAAGTCAATAAAAATGCCTAAAGCGAACTTGGAATTTTCAAATGATTCAGTAATATATTGTGTTATATGGAGTATAGCGTGTTCAGTGGAGTTATTTTTTTTAAATCCATAATGATTTTTGTACAAGATATTATTTTAAGAAAGATTATTAAAAATTTTATTATAAAAAATTCGCTCTATAATTTTTGAGAAAACAGAGAGAACAGATATTGGACGGTAATTACTAACATTAAGTCTCCACCTTTAAGTATTGGTGAAACTTTAGCTATTTTTAATTCATCAGGAAAAAATCCTTGTGGATTTGAACATTTAAATATTTTAAAAAGGATGTTTGTTATGATATAATTTTTTTTTTTTTTTTTTTTTTTTTGTTAATATTTTTAGGTGCCCCAAGAAGATCTAACGGTCTTGTCATAGAGCACTGCGGTAAGTGTATTTAAGTGTATTTAACCAGGAAGTTCACGCCTCCTTCCTTACCGTGACGCGAAAATATGTCCAAAGCTCGTTTTGAACCTGGATCTCCTGATAATAAAGCAGACGCTCTAACTACTGCGCCACGGCCGCACATATGAATCACATGAATCAATGACAATTTTTCCATTGATATATTCAGGACCGACTGCTTTATTTAATTTTAGCATTTTTAAAGCTCTAGAAAATTCATGAAAAGACAATTCAAAAAATTTAGATAAGATACTAAAGGAAAACTACATCTGTTATACAGTTAATTTCTTAAGGAGAGAATTAAGAATTCATTTCTCTTCATAAAAAAATAACTCTTCTAATTTTTTTAGGAAAACTTATAATCTAGTTTACTAATACGTATTGCGCCTTGAGACGTTCCACTGCTAAACCACGTGTGCAACATCAATTCCAATCAATGTTGCCAAGCAATCAATTGCTAAGCAACAATGTTAGTTATTAAGTTTTTATTCTAACTGTAACGTATTCTTATTTATTCTCTGACTATTTTTATTTTTGAAAACACTTTGACTAATGGTTCTACGGGCTTATAAGTTATGGTATACAACTTTACATAGACAATGGCTAGTGGATAACAATTGTATCGAATTCGACAGAAAAACGTTTCTCCTACGTTAATCTACTCTGGATAATAATCAAAATAAAAACAAAAATTGGTCTAACTGTTTGATATAAATAATTTTGTTGCCAATGTAAAGTTGTTTGCCTCTCAAAAAAGCACTTTTGGTAAACCGTGAATTAATTTTTCAATTTAAATTTTACATTAACTATAAAATGTTTAATAAAAGGATTTAAATCAAAAGATTTTTTTGTACCGAAATTAAATAATTAAAAATTCATTACAATGCTTAAACTTTTTTATTAAAACTTTATTCATTTTTATTTTTTACTTTTGAAAAAAAAATGAAATCCACTAACAAAATTTCAAATTTCTTTATTAACTGTTATAAATTGGTTGAGTTCTTAAATATTTTATCTCCGTTTTCTTAAAATATTTTATCTCCGTTTGCGCAAAATATAAATGAACCAAAAATTTTAATTTTAACATTTTTATCTTGAAAACTGAAAGAAAAAAAAAATTAAATATTTAAAAATGTGTCTGTTATTAAAACGTGGAGGAAGCGCAATAAATTTTTTTTATTTTTTTTATTTGTTTCAATAAAATAAAATAAATAATGTTCAATTTTGAATAAATAAATTTTATTTTTTTGTTGCTGGATTGATGATGTGATGTTATTATTTCAGCCTTTTCCGGCAATGAACACTTATTCTAAACGACGTGTGGCCGTTGATGAAAACGAACTTCCAAATAACTATAGTACAGCTGCATTATTAACTTGTATATGCTGCTGCGTACCTCTTGGAATTATGTCGCTTATGAAATCTAATGAGGTTTTTTTATTTTTGCTTATAAACTTTCTTTATATTCTTAATGATATTTTTACAAAGTTTTAAATGTAAAAATGAGTTAAATTAAATATTAAGTATAATTTTTTCACATACTTTATTTTATTTTTTTCATTTTTAAGGTCGATACAGCTATTTCGGAAGGAAATATTACAAGAGCTAAAAGAGCGTCAATCGACGCAAAAAATTATGCGATTGCTGCTTTGGTTTGTGGAATTACAATATTTATAACATCTATTACAGTTACTATTATTTACTATCAAGGATATTTTAAATAATTGTTTTAGTAATTTTGAAAACTAAAGAAACAAATTTTAACTGAGCTTATTCAACAAATAAATTTTTCTTTTTATAACTTCTGTTAAATTGAGCATATACTTCTATTTGATAAAATATTTATTAGACTTCAAGAAGAAAAAAAATTCATTTTATACACCATTTTGTAACTTTGTAATTTAAACTAATATTTCAAGTTTTCACTTAAATTTTTTTTAAAAAGAGATCTTACTTTAATAAAGCATTTTTGTCAAAAAAAAAAAATTATTGAACATAATAATTGTTTTGGTGTTGGCGTTCGGAAAGACTAGTATTTTAGCTATTAATGATTCCTTGAATACAATGATTTTTAAAATTTTGTTTATGTTTGATCTTATGGCTTTTTTATATCGACATCAAAAACTAATTACTCAATCTTAACTTTTAAAACAGTTTTAACTTAATCAAGTTATGGTATAAAAAGAACTATGTGGCTAAATAAACTTTAAAACTAATACTGAATCTACTCAACACAGTAAATGCACGTTCTGGAAAATACACAAATTTTGCGTTTAAGCATAAAGGCTATATTTAACTGAACTTAGTTAATTACTTTTAATTTTTAGTCTCTTGGTATATCTAAAATTAAATGAAGTTAAAATGTTTTTAAATTAAGGTAGAGCGGGGCTAGTTGAGCATAGGGGCAAGTTAGGCAACTAAAATATCTCAAAAACACCTCATCTCATGGCAAAAATCTAATGGATAAAAGATAGGTATTTAAAATGGTAACAAAATGCGCATCAAATAGTTGTTGGACCGCGGTTCAGTAACATGCACAGACACTTTTTCGATTTTGGACCAAAAAAATAAAAAAATTCTTTTGCTATTTTTCTCTTAAATGCTTAAAAAAATATTTATCTGGTATCACATAAGTGTTTATATTTTACTCGTTTATTTGGCTATTGATTATACTTATCCTTTTTTCCCCAAGCCTTATAGTTCTTTTTATAACCTAACTGATGCGTCGCACAGTGACTCAGGATAATCAAAAAACGGCAAAAATTAAATAAAAATTGACAAAAATCGTAAATAAATAATGTTATATATTAAAATAATAATTTTTAAGTCAAAGATTTCAAATTTGCTAATAATTTGTTTTTTAACGCGCAGCTTCGACGCGTAAAATGCGCCCTTACGCGTGTTAAAGGTACAAAAACTTTTTTATTTAGTTTTTAGAATCTTCAAGACAAAAACATAATTTTGATATATTACTCTACTTGATATTTGTATAAAAATAGTTTTTAAAGGATGTTGATACATAGAGAAAAAATACTGTATTTTTTAACGTTAAATTTATTATTTACATTACGATTAATTTAAAAACTTCATTAGGCAACGGTTTTCCTCGATGTTCCTAAAAGATATGCTTGATATTTTTGGCTCTGATCTTACTAGGAGGTAAGATCTTAAAGTGATCTTACTAGGAGCATCTGATTCATCATCGTGTTTAACCTTGATATTTTTGCCGTGTGCTTAAGTCTAGAATTTTTTATCTGTTTATTTAAACTCTCTAGTGCTTCTTCCGAATATACCCCAATTGGCAAAGGTAATTTATTTGATATAGAAGAACTATGCAGTAGCAGTTTATGTACAGTAGGAGACATAACATACCAATTGTATAAACTCACCATACGTTTAGCTGTTTCAGTGCAGTATAAATCTAATTCATTGATATTAATAGGATATCCACAAGATATGGTTATGAGAATATTATGAAATCTTTTAATTATATCACAATCAACTTTGGTAATTTCAGAAAAAATTTCACTATTTTTAAATGCTCTTCTGGCAGTGTTGCCGTCATTCGTGTTTCCAGACCCAGTTTTAGGCATATCAACGTATAGGCTTAACCGTTCTCTGAAGAGTACCTGAATCTCTTTTTTTTTTTAAGTCTACAGATAGTTTTTCCTCAGTTGTTTTTGGCTTATACTTTTTAATTTCATTTTTATAACTCAAATGAAGAATGAACTCCAAGCATTTTATCCAGCAATGCAAAGCTGAAATTCCGAGCCCCAAGGCCGAGTCATTCTCAGTTTTTGCTTTTAATAAATCAATATTGTTCATTTCCTATGGTTTAGCATTGCACACATTGCAGGATTGAGTGGATTTTGTCTCTGTAAGTGCGCTAACTACTTTATTATCAAACATTGTAAAATCAATCCTATAGCTGATATTAAATGTCAAAATTCTTCCTGCAATTTTAAAAACTTTGCAAAACGTCTTTAAGGTATTTATTTAATTTTTTAGATCTGATTCTTCTTCTCTGGATAAAATTGGACTCTCTTTTTTATATTGTAGATGAAGAGGTCTACAAAAGTGACAACTTGAAGGATTTTCATTTTTTTCAAATTTTGCCATCTTCTACTTTGAGCAATAAAGGCGCAAAAGCTGTACTGAAAAGATTTTCTTCATGCTTAAGTTCTATACTTGCGTTGCTTGTATCGTATTTCTGTTTATAAATACTTAGGTATGATGCTCCATCAAAACCAATCTTTCCATATAAAACTCCTAATATTTCATCACTTTGACCAAAATTAGGCATATCAGTCATTTCTGTTATTCTACTCACAGAGTGATCTGACATGCTTTGAAGAGTACACTTTGCAGAAATTTCAGAAAAATGTATGTTCTCAGGATAGTATTTCAATTTTTCCACGAAAATATCGTGCAAGGTAGCATAAATATGTAAGTTGTGTACAAGAGCTGAGTTTCTGATCATTTGATATTGTTTATCGCTGAGATCAGTATTCATTTTTAATGCAAGAGCATCCTCTACACTTATGTTAATGGGAAAGCTTTTATCCAAAGTTTTCTCAATTTTTTCTATCTCTAAAACATTAGATATATTGCTTTTTAAAACAGAGGTTGTTTTTTTTTCTCCAGCAGCATTTGCACTTTTTGCAGAAGCTAAAAATAGAGCTTCATGATGTTTAGTGGCTAGTTCTTTTATTTTTTTTCTTTTGCTTCTCTCTCCAAGAACACTCCATTGTTTATGGGGCCTTCCAGAACCAAAATGGCTATTTTTATTGTTCATAAGATTTCTTTGAAGCCAACGATTTTCTTTTTGTATAAATGTATCATAGTTTCGTCCGCATTGTTTTAGTTTTTTCTTCACCCTTGAAATAAATATAACTAAAGCAAGCTTAACTTTATTTAAGTTTTCTTTGCGAATTTTTTTAGTATTTTTTATTTCATTAAGTAAATCTTTCCATAATTTTAATTTATCAACTCCTAATTCACGTATATTTAAGATAAGATTTAATCTATTCATTGTTATCGTTTTTAAAAACCATCAATATAATAAAACTAATATATTAGGTACATTTTAAATTACATTACATATTTTTTTACTTTACCCTGTTTCAAATTTTATCTTGTTATGACTTTTAACAATTTTTACATTGCTACATCCTGTAATAACATATATTACTTAGTTAACTTTATATTACATGTAATATAAAGTTAACTAAGTAATATGTGTTATTACAGGATGTAACCATTTGGTATTTCTTGAAACGGCAAATACCAAAGTTTTTCAATTAAGCTTTTAAAACATGTTGTACTTATCGAATAATAAATCGTTCTTTAAAATTGTAAATAAATATTTTAACAAACTTTTAAATAGTATATAATGGCAAAAGCACGTTTTTTTAAAACTATATTTAATATTTATGATTTAAAAACTATATTAGAACAAGTTCTACAAGCAAGAAACTTAACTTTAAGTTTCCTGCCAATTTCATTTGTTTTGATATAATAAAGTTCTTAGCAAAATGGCGGAAAACAAAGTTTTTATAAAATCATCAACATTTGTTTTTCCAAAACCGCAGGATACCGCAGTAATCTTTTTACATTCCTTAAGTAGAAATGTTAATTAACTGGAAAATATATATACAGTAGCGTTCAAAAGTTTGCGGACAGGCAAAACAATACGGAATTTTACTTAAATTTCAGCACATATTTCACTAAAGCCAACATATTATATACCAATTAAAAGGTTTCCAAGTTAACAATTATGTTTTGAGCAAATAATGAATATTTAATTATCATTTTAAAATTGGTTAACAAAATGGCGATTTTTGATAAGTTCAAAAGTTTGCGGACAAACTAACGCTTTTAACATTTTCACCACAAAATAGCTAATTTGTTGATTTTATAAACAAATACTTTGTGGAAATAATTTCAAAACTTTATATATAAGTGATTGAGATTAAGGGATCTAAGAAATGTATTTCATCTCCAGTAAAAAAATTGATCTTGAGATCAGTTCAAAATGGAAACTCGTTTGCTGTTGGACAAATTATGAAGAGATTTGAGCTTCCTAGATCTACAAAGAATAAAAATTAATCAGGAAGGCCACGCAAAACAATGTGTTATCAGAATAAAAAGCTTGTAATACTAAGCAAAGAAAATCCCCGTTTGACAGCAGTCGATTTAAACGTACAAATGAGACGTTTCTAAGAAATGAATTGTAGTATTTCTACTATAAAACGTCGTTTACGTCACGCTAATTTTTTTGGAAGACGCCCAGCTAAAAAACCATTAGTTTCCTTGAAAAACCGTAACGCCCGAATGGAATTTGCATCAAAACATCTGAAGTGGAGTAGTCAAAAATGGTCAAAAATTCTTTTTAATGACAAAAGCAAATTTCTGCGGTTTGGATCCGATGGAATCAGGTATGTTCGACGTCCAGTGGGTACTAGGTACAATCCTAAATGCCAACTGCCTACCGTAAAACATGGAGGAGGTAATGCAATGGTTTGGGGATGTTTTAGCCAAAATGGAGTTGGTCCTCTCAATAGAATTACCGAGAATATGAATCAAGAAAAGTTTAAAGATATATGTAAGACTATTATGTTACCATATGCAAAGGATAAAATGCCTCGAGGATGGATTTACCAACAGGATAACGATCCCAAACATACAGCTAAATCGGTTTTAGAGTTTTTTAAAGAGAGTAAAGTTAATGTTTTGAAGTGGCCATCCCAATCACCTGACTTAAATCCCATTGAACATCTATGGGAACATGTTGACCGTCAAATGAAAGGAATTAAGCCTACAAATTATGCTGATTTATTTAATAAAATCAAAGAATTATGGGACTTCCCATAATTCTTTGATTT